AAAACACTTTTATTTTTTTAATAGAAGGAGATGCTATCCTGTAAACATAAAGTTATGATACATATCTGAGACTTAATGGCTAAAACAAGGGAAAAAAATGGGACCTCAATTTGGAAGAATGGGCACTTCCAATATGAAGTGGGGTATAGTTCCAACTGTTTAGATTCTAGAAAAAATACAAAGCAAATGCACAATAACACTCAAGGTACCTGAAGTAAATAATGCAGTAATTCCAAAAAGAAACTAGTGTATAGTATACCAGACATAACTCATAACTGGTGTTAAATTTTAAGGTAAGAATGTTACACACACACACACACACACCACATTCAAGGAACTCAGGGTAAAATATCTGGTTAAGGAGGTTGCAACAAGGAACAATTTTTGTAATATTTATACCAGAAAAACTTATTATACTGATAAGTGTATGAGCTTTAGCATGAAACTAACCTAACTTCAAATTACAATCTTTCTACTAAGCCACATGATCCTAAACAAGCTGCTGAAGGCAGCCTGTCTGTATAGGTATGGCACATGGCTCGGCTGGGAGAATTGAGTGGCACATACCACAGTGGTTTGGGGGCTATGAAGCCAAGAGTGGCAGTTCCAGACTGAGTCAGCAAGCCTGGGCCTGAAGCTAAGTAGCTATGTTTGTAAAAGCATCATGGCTGACTCTACTGAATAAACAAGGGAAGGGAAGGAAAAACAGGTACAACTCAAGGCCTGGAACATGAGGGGCATTTGCTAAATGTTAGAGGGCTGTATCATATAAACTATGTGCCTTCCATCATTTTCCACTAAGGTTGTCATAAACTGTTTTATTAAAAAGATCAAGTCAGGATCTGTCCACAATAAAGTGCTTGGGTTCTTTGTTTTCATTTTTTGTTTTTGCTGCCATTTATTTCAGAATGTTAAATCTCCACATCACTGAGGTGGGCTGTGTGCTCACCCCACTCATTGATCTCTTTAGTGTTGTGCTTATGTACCAAAATCAACAGACAGGATTTGCTCCTTACGACATGACCGTAAAAGAAACCAACTGTTAATCTGCAAAGATATCTGTACTTGTGGAGAAGCAGCACGGAGTTCAGAAAATATTCTTGCAAATGTCAAAGGTCTACTATACAATCACATTTTCAATGTAAGGGGAAAGTCTTGACATATTTATAAGTGGCTTCCAGCAATTAAGAAAAGTGCCATGAAAGGTCAGGGTACATGGTTTTGAATGTCCCAATATTTCAGTTGTTAGTATGCCTGCCTGTCTTCCTTGCCCTCCTTTACAACTGCTCAGAATGGTGGCTGAAATTCCACCCTAGGAGAGGCTCACTGACTAAAATAAATGAGTGTGTGCTGCACAGGGTGGTGACCTATGCTGGCTTGACTCCTTCTCTATACAAAGCCACTATAACAAACAGATTAACTGTAAGCAGGTAGCCATGAATCAAGCCTCAAGTTCAAGAAGCTAAAGGACTTTCACAATGTTGCTGAAGCCGAGCTGCCTATGAATGTACTGCTGTTGCTTACAGTTTTCTCATAGCAAAGGAGGAATACAGTGACCAATACAAGAGTGCCAGACACAGGCCCATCAGGTACCACATATGCATAAAACTTATTGTTACATCAGCAATTCTCTTCCTGATCAAACTGAAGGGCTTTATTCAAGTGTGCTGATCCAGATTACCTGGTGGAAATTTACTTTTTCTTTAGTCGTTAACTCAGTGACACACAGATTCATGGAAAGGCCATATCCTCCATTTCTTCCTAAGCAGAATCTATTCATATGAGCTACATTTAGACAGAAATGTGGACTGGTTTGAAATTTTTAAGAAAATACTGATTTCAAATCTATTAATAATAGATGAGCCAATTTGATGAGTCAATCTATTAATAGACTAATTAAAGTATGGCTACCTGAAGTATCACATCTAAAAATATCATTTTAAACTACTGACTACTACTCTACAAGCTGTCTTCAGCTCCCACAGGCTCAAGTTTGCAAGGAGGTTGCTTGAGCCACACTGGCCCTTTCTTGTGCTTTCTTACCCATGAATGTTTGTTCTTTCTGCCTATCCAGCTCAGTCTCTCCAGTGTTCAAGAGAAACTCAGCCTCTTACAGGAGTCACACACATGAGTATTTCAGTCCCACAGGACTCTCTTAAAGGAACACTTGGTACTATTTAGCAAAATTTCTGCATATTATATGCCATAAAACTTAGCACTTACCATACATGTTAATTCAGACATTTGTTTCAATGTGTATCATTCTTATCTCTAACCATTAAGACTAGAAACTTCCTGAAGATAGTCATATCTCAAATTAGATCATACTCTGAAACAAATGTCTTTCTCTCTTTTTCCGGGTAGTCTAGCCTAATTCAAGTTGTTTCAGTAAGACCCAGAGCTTTCAAATGCGCACACCTGTGCCTCCTCCTGGTGAAAATGATTATTACAACAGCATCAGCTATAACAAAATTACAAGTTACTAGACATTATGATGAATAGTGTTTGAGGACACAGACATTATACATTTTATTATAACGTATAATTTAAAAAATCCATAGTATCTTTCCCCTAGATTGGTAACTAGTTTTGAGATTGGTAACTGGATTATTTCTGTCTTTAAACACACACACAATCACAATCATATATTGGAAGCTTCTGTGATTAGGAGCCTGTATGAATCACCTTTAACAAGCACCTTTGAGTATAACACATAATGCTTTGAAAAACATGCTTGGACAATATTTTGTACTTTCTGGCACTTTTTAAAAGAGTCCACACAACTAATGCTGATGATTTTCATTCAAAGGGTGATTCCAAATCCCCAAAAAAGAAAGACTCTAGCACAATTTTAAACCAAGTACACAGATGGTACAAAGTAAGGCTCTCAGGGCAAACCCTGTTACTGTTAGTGTTACTGTTAGTGGTTACTGTTGCAGAAACAACCTACTTATAAAACGTTACATAATTAGTGTAACATTGCCAAGTGTTCTCAGTCCTGGTAAACAGACTCTAAAGAGAGACATGGGCTCCTTTCCTTGTTATCTCTCCCCTCTAGCTGAATAATGCTTGTTCTGGCTTTATCCTAACTCCTGGTGCTCTGAACTCATGTTTGCCTGCCTGCACTTACTAAGCAATAGATAGCAGCCACACTAAGCTCAGCTACAAGTGAGAATCATGAAAATGATGCTTTATGGTGATTCATGTTAATGTGTGGCTTCTGGAGGTCCACTGGAATACTACTGAAATATTAACTATAACGATCACTTGTTATAACAGTAAGCGTTCTTTTCATATTGTACTGTAAAAGCAGATCTTCAAGGCCTAAAGATCAGAAAGCTGAGCTGGACCTCCTCTTGAGTCTTACATTCCTTTCCCAGAAGAATGCTGTGGACTCAGTGGCCTCTAACCTTCTTTACTGCTGACCCTCGGTGCAGATCTCACTCTCTGTTTACTCGAACCCCCTTCTCCTGCCAAGAGCCCAAATCTGTCCTCAACACTGTGAGTGTGTCTCCCCAGTCCGTGCCTGCTTCTGTTGTCACCTCCCAGCACCCACACCTATCCAAGACCATTACCCTTCCATTGTCCTTTTGCCTTTCTTTCTTTTCAATCCTCTCTTAAAAATCACCCAGCTCACTCATGGTACTAAGGTGTCTTTGTGGCTTGGAGACTAACTACAGTCATACTATAAATGAAGGCGCATATGCTACTCTATCCCACACTATCCAGTAACTGATGGCTTTCTTCCCCTTGCTGTCTGCCCTTGTTCTGTGGGATACATGAGAACTGCTCTGGGGACTTGTAAAGAGGAAGTAAACTTTACATTACAAACACTTAGAACAATGTCCCACACTTGTAAGAACTCAATGTTAGTGGCTTTACTGTTTTAACAAGCATCAACATGGTTCTTCTTTTCAATATAGTATAGAGGTTTCTAGTCCACAATTCTTAATGAAATAAACAGACTTATCATCTGGTTTTCCAACCAAAACCAATGAGATCATCTGAATTTTTCTCCCTTTTTTAATATTGGCTGTGGGAAATCAGTCACCAATCCTGGCAGGGAACAATTAATTACTACTTGTGGGTACTAACTAGTGTTCGAGTATTGACTAGGCAATATACACTTCTCATGTGTGCAGCAAAGTTAACAACCAGGTTGCTAGTACATATTTTCTGGATTTCAGAACACAGAATGTTACAAATATACCCTCATCAACTATAAAACAATCTCTCCATTGTCTTGTCTGTACTTAGGATAATCGTGTAAGTAAAAGATATGTCCCAAAGTCATCTTCCATTAACTAAGAACTACAGTAATGTGCTTGCTTCCCAGTGTCACATATACCTTTAAAGAAATTACTAAATACATACAATGGAAACCACACTGTGGACTGAAAAGAGTAAGTTAGAGAGACTATTACCTAAGAGAGAGGAGACAAAAGTGAGAACACAGGCATACCACCTGAATATCTTCCCGACACTTTCCACAGACACAAAGACAAAGACCTCCACCCTTTATGAGCTTCTACAAACTGACAGCAGAGGCATGCGTTATCCATTGGCAAAGCAAAAAGTCAAGCCCACAGTCCACATCTTAGTAGTTATAATAACAGAAATGACCCAATCTGACCATGGACAAGTTTGGTCTTATGATTCCGATGTGAATCTAGGCTGATAGCAAATATTTCTTCAAAATCTTGGTACTTAGATGTAAAAAGCTCCATTTTAGCAAATTGTAGTTTGTATCTTAAAGCACATCAGACTCTAAAAGAACAGTTATGCCATTTAGGGATAGACACCTTCTCTTACATAAGGTTTCAAGGCCTTTCATGTTAGGCACAGGCAATTTTATGACACGTAGCTTTTAGAAGAGGAAGGTGACTATTTGTCACAGGTCATTGGATTTATATGGCTCACTACATATCAGATCTACATATACAACTCAGCAATTTGTGTCACATTTATTTCAAACCACTCATTTTAAGATCAGTACTTACCTTCTCTTAGACGGTCCACCACGAAAGTAAAGCCGGTGGTTCTTGGGTGTAAGACATACTCATATTTCTGAAGTCCGTTCTTCTCAGCAAAATCATTACTTCTAGCCTTGTTATTTTCTGGAGAAAAAGAATAAACTGTTAGAAGTCATAAGGTAAAAAGAAGATAGTGAGCTAAAGAAGAACATTAAGAATTTCTTGTATAAAAAAATAGCACTTATGACCAGGCATGATGGGCACACCTTCAATCACAGAATTCAGGAGGCAGAGACAGGCAGATCTACAAGAGTTCATGACCAGCTTAGTGTACACAGTGAATTCCAGGCCAGCCACTACATTGTGAGACCCTGCCTGCTTTTCTGTTGTTACACAGTATACAAAGACGGTGCAAACATTCCAAGCATGTGTATGAGTGCTTTGCCTGCATGTCTGTGTGACAGTGTGCAGTGTCCAAGGAGGCCAGAAGAAGGCATCAGATCCTCTGGAACTGAAGCTACAGATGGGTGTAAGCAGTCATATGAGTGCTAGGCACCAAATCAGGTCCTCTATAAGAGTATCAAATGCTCTTAACCACTGGGCTATTTCTCCATCCCCACAAGGCAAACATTTGAGATAATCCCTTATAAATACCTGAATCTGTAGGTAGGTAGATATGTAAATTTATGTTATGAATAAGCCTGAATATGTTTCCTTAAACTTATATCCCAAACTTTAAAATTACTTAGAAGGCTTTTAAAAAACTGATATGAATGAAAATTGTGACACAGAAACACAATCTAATAAGCTAAAGTTTTCATCAAAGATCATCTTTATGTGAGGATGTTCAAAAGGCTACGGTGTCTACCACGTGCAAGGCCTTAGGTTCAATCTCAAGCAGCAGTAATAACCATAAAATCCTGAAATAATAAAAATTTAAATGTAATAAAAAATACTAATAAAACTAAAAATGAACACGATCTAGACACCCAGAAGAAATAACTAGCAATCAAATCAACATTTTCTTTAACCCAATAATTTAGGCACTGAAAGCAAATGAAGTATCTGCCTTACTCAAGCACAGAGTTGCTAATATTACTAACCAAAACCACTGCACAACAAAATAGGCACATGATTAGCACATCATGTACAAACATCTGAACATGGTTTGGCTGAGTATAGTTACAGAGACAAGTATATGTTCCAACTGTTGGCAATAACTTCTTTTTCCATTCCATGAGGTCACTTTACAAATTCCAAGAAGAATCAAACTCATTACTCAGCAAATACAACTGGAAAATAAAGTGTTCAAAAATGTGGCCTTGACTAGTAGAGATCATGAAATACCTTCTGATGACAGCAAATGTTAGGGCATGTAATTCTCAGCTCTGTTTGGAAATTTACAGACTAGTACAAGAAAAATATCTATATAAACATAACTTTCCTAGGAGTAAATATAAGATCAATGAGTTCTCTAGCCCTCCAGCAACCACAGGTGCATCCACAACACAATATCCCACAGATACTCTTACAGAAGGCACCGTGTCATTTCTAACAGAGGCACTGAGTCAAATGCCCACAGCACCCCCAACAATAAAAGAAAAGACCTTGGAGATGGAAATCAGTATTCTGCATCTGTTGTGAATGTCCTGGGCACAAGCAGACTAGTGACAGTATTTCTGTTACAGTCAGCTACAGAACTTAAAGGGGATTAGGAGTCCCAGAAACACCAGAGAGATGCAACTACTCATCAGATAGTTGTCCCAGGTGTCAGTGACTCTGAGGCTTTTCATGTGCAACTCAATTCTGTTGTAGATGTGGAGACAAATTTACACAATGCTAAAATGTACAGTCACACTACAGGACAAATCAGTGTGGTGATGCTCCGTCCCTCACTTTACCCATCCCTTCCCAGGCTGTCATTATTAGTAACTGCACTAGCATCCCATTTTCCAACCGCAGCCTCCTGTCAGCTCATTCCCTGCAGCCTCCCACTCCTTCCACCCATACCCACAGGACCGCTGGCCACTCTGATCTTCTCAAGCCAACTGGGCATGTTCCAACCTCAGCTTGTGCAGCTGCTATGCAATTACCCATGCCTTTGCTGCAGATGAAGTCTTCTATCTCATTCACCCAGTCCCTACTTACCAGAAACTTAATAGAGAGGCTTGTCCTGACCACCTTATAGGTTAGCACCCTGCTTCCTTCTTTTACTCTCTGTCTTCCTTCCCATCCTACCTTATCTTTGCCCCTTTAAAAAACATTTAGTTTTTTATTGGTTCTTTATGAACTTCACATCATGACCCCAATTCCATTCATCCCCTCCTTTCCTTGCACCCACCCACCTTCCATGCTTGCAACACCACCTCCAACAGAGAAAAATCTTGTTGTGGAAGCTGAAGTGTGTCACACTGTGTCCCACAGTATTCCCTTTTGTCCACACTTCTTGTATATGTCCCTTGCAACGAGTCGTTGGTCTGTCACAAGGCCTCTGGCTTCTGCTACTTTATCAATTCTGGAACCTCACTGAGACTTCTCTCAGATATCCTGTTGTTGTCCTGTCTCATGGAGATCCTGTAATTTGGGAACTCTAAGACTGGCCCTTCACACACTCCAGCAGTTCATCGATGGGATAGATGTTGAGGTGGGCCAATTTAAATCCCTGGATCTTGGCCTGGGAGGTACCTGAGCTGCTTAGCCCACCAGCTCTCTCTCTCACACCCTCATGAGTATATCAGCCAACCCCTACTCTACCATGCTGCCAAGGTGAGATACAGGGCCTGCCCTGAAAAGAGACAAGGGAGACATCTCTTCCTCATCCACAAAACCATACAGTGGAGAGGAGGCAGGGCCAGCTCTCCTGCTCTCACACCTTCATGGCCAGCTCGCCTGCAATCCCCATATCCAGCACGGCTCTACTGTGCTGCCCAGGTGAAGGATAGGGCCAGCTCTCTTGCTTTCATGACCTCAAGGGCCAAGTCTCCCATGGGAAGAGAAGGGTACCTCTCTTTCATCCATACCACCTCACAGGAGATGCATTGAAGGGCCAGTTCTCCCATGCTCATATCCCCAGGGCCACCAATGTGCTGGTCACTTTCCCGAATACTGCAGTGGCTAGGGGTGGAGTCAGTTCTGCTCTGCCTCCAAGGCCAGCTCTCCCACAATGCCTGGATGAGAGGTGGGACCAGTTCTATGCAGCCTTCAGACATCAATATGTCTCTGACTGGCAGCCCAGACCAGGGACATTTGCCTGGCCTTTGGTAACAGACCCCTGCAGTTATAGAGTCACAGGCCTGATGTAGCCCCCAGTGGGAGCACAGGCTATATGCCACAATGGTCCCAGTTGGCTTTACCAGCTACTCATGTCAGTCTGTCCCTCGCTACCCTCGAGTCTCCAATTCTGCCTTGTTCCAATTGTGCCCACATCCTTCTGTTTCTCATCCATTTCTCCACCATATTCTTGCTCCTCTTAGTAGTATTCAGGGTCTCTGAGTGTCTGGGGTCACCTCAGGAGTGGTCTCAGGAGTGCTATGCCCTGCTCTTGCATCATGGTGCTCGGCAGGGGTCATCTCAGGCACCCTAACCCCAGGCTGAAGGCACTAGACTGGTGGTTATCTCAGGTTACCCCTCTGTCTCGGCCCTAGGATGCTAGTCTGGTGGTCATATCAGGTGGCCCAGCACATCGGGTGGCTCCTTTCAAGGGCTGTCTGTGTCAGCTCACTTCTTCCCAGGGCTTGTGGTCCCAGATGGGGTTCTTCTAGTTTCCATCCTGGAAGCCCTGCCTAATGCCAAACTGGTAGTAGTCTCAGATTCACTTTTTTCAGGGAACATTAGGCTGCTAATTATTCAGATGTTTGTAGGTCAGAACACTCACAACTTCCCCCCTCTCTGGCACCTCCTGACACACATGTGACACAGCAGCCACACCCACAATACCTCTAGGGGAAAAGTGCTTTATTTTTCTACACAAACTCTGATGACAATTGTATGGATTCTTATTAGTTTATTATCTCTTTCTTCACAGAACTTCATGAAAGGGAAATCATTTTGTATATATAATTTCAAGACACTGGGATATTTATTAAATAAAGAAGCTTTATGTGCAAGAGTATCAAATTCTATGTAATTTCATTGTTAAAATCTGGAAATAGCTTTCCTTTCCAAATTTGAAGATGGAACTAAAAATTATACCCTAACAAGTGTTATGGCAAATTTTATGTCAACCTGAGAAGGCTGCATGCACCAGGCTTTAACTGTCAATCTGTCACAACCTGGAAGCACCTTGAAAGAGTCTTAAAGAGGAATTATCTGGATCAGTGGGCATGTCCGGGGGACTGTCACCTACTTTGGGTGGTATCGTTTCCTACAGTTGCGATCATAAAAAATATAAGAGAGAAGAAAGCTATCTAAGAGCAAGCAAGCGAGGGTGCATTTATTTCCCTGCTGACTGTGGATGTGACTAGCTGTTTCAAGGTCCTGCCTTCCACACAGTGATGGACTGTGACCTGAGATTATAAGGTGATGTAAACCCTATTCTCCCCCAAGTTGCTTTCAGTTAGAGTGTTTATCATAACAACAGAAATAAAACAAGGATGGTACAAACATTTATTCTAGAGGTTTTGGTAGAGGTACTATTTAGATAGGATTACTATTCCTATTGGTAGAGTGAGTAGTAGTAAGTGAGTAGTTACTCCACAAAGTAACTGTGTTTCATGTAAGTCAACTGTCTTAGAAACAAGGGTACCCTTACCTACACTACACAAAAGATGACTTGTGCTGGAGCCCACCTTTAGGTTTCAACTGCTGCTCTTCCCAGGTCTCTACCACTGGCCAACTCTGAACTTGCAAGGTCTGCTGTGGCAAGAACCACTCACTTCCTTAAAGCAAACCCTGTTCTCTCCTCAAATGTAGCTTTCTTTAGAGACCCCAGTACACAATATAAAACTGCACAATCATCTCAAAGGTCAAATGATATGAAAGACTACAATATAAGTAAGAAATAAAATGAACACAAAACACATGTTCTCTTTTCTGGTTTTAAGTTTATAAAGGAGCTGGTGTGTATGTACACATATTCCTAAGAATGTGAGCATGTACATAAGGATCTGTGACCAAATGATGAGCAAAATGTACCAAAAATTCAAATCCTGTTCATTCATGGACTACGGAATTACAGCAACCTCTATGTATACTTCTGTGCTTTTTAATTTCCTAATATATACTTCTTCCCTTAACAAGAAGTTATAGCATTTATAGCAATTATACCAATTATAGCATACAAAAGACAAAACAAATATAAAGCCATCGAACACACTGATTCAAAACTAAATTCAGAATTTAAAGTAGAATATAAAGTATTAGAGTTTTAAAATCCAAATTTAAATTCAACTCTAATAATTAAAAACATTTTTAAATTAAACATTTTAGATTAAATGATACTTTTTCTAAATTGGAGATATTTTTGTTAGCCCACAGTATGAAGTTAAAAACTGCCTTTCCTAGTTCAGTATCACAGTTCTTGGAAGATAAGTTTATATTCCTCTTTGCCATAGTTTGTCCATTTTGTTTTTCACTCTGTGCCCTCTTAGGTCTGTGTTCCCTCACACAGCATACCACACCATCCTCCTACATTCTGCTGAATCGCTCATTGAAGGTATGGTTTATCACACTGGAGAAAAGGCCCCTTTGAGCTCTTACTACAGAAATGCCTCAAATTCAACTGTAACCCTCCTCCAAGTCCTCTAATAACCAACCAGAAAAGCTCCACATTTAACCATGTTAGGTTTGCCCTGCATTTCAGTACATGTGACAGACTATATAGTGTTTTTACTAATCTTGTTTTTATTTGCTGAGGTAGAAAGGTTCTAAATATGCTTTTCTGTGTCCCATCTATAACACAAGTATAGATAATTTTTCTCAAGAGACAAAGGTTTTTGTTTTGTTTTGTTTTTTGTAGTAGAGAGATAATCAGTGGAAAGGTCACAAGATTTAAAATTACTTTTAGATTTTTTTCTTATATGGAAGAACTTGAAGGATAAAGGGTTTACAGAATAAATAATACTTTGGAAGAGAACACTTGTGATCTGCCTGCACCATTCTCCTGAGTAGTTGGACCTTCAGGACTGTACCAGCAGGTCACGCTTGGGTACCATTAGCTGAGTGACTGGGCAGTTATCCATCCATTTTGTTGATATTCATATACTCCGTATGAGATTTGACTAGTGGTTTCTAAGTTTTTAAATTCTGTGACCCAAACCCAGGCTACCTTACCTGTGAGGTCAGTTCCTTCTGGAAAGATGAGAAGTTGTAGTGGTTCATGGATGACACAAAAATAATCAATCATGTCTTCAAAATGGCTCTTATCATCCTTCCATTTCCTATGAATAAAGATAAAGGCAGCAACTTGCATGGCCCAGCCTAGGGGGAAAAAAAGCATTTGTACAAACTTCAGTAGCAATATTAACATACTACTAAATATAACTTTCAGGTCTTCGATGTTTCTACTCTATAATAACCATTCTATGACATACCATATATCTAGTACGAATTTTGGAAATACTGTAGTGTGCAAAACCACCTCACCCAGACAGGGTTTCTCTGTGTAGTCCTGGCTGTCCTGGAACTCACTCTGTAGACCAAGCTGGCCTCAAACTCAGAGATCTGCCTGCCTCTGCCTCCTGTGTGCTGGGATCAAAGGTGTGCACTACCACTGCCTAAATTCTTGAAAACCTCCTTTAAGCCATAGCTTGCCACTATTATCTCAAGGTAGTACTGCTTACCAAATAATAAGCAAAGAATTTTCTCAGGTCACACAAGAATTCTAAAATACTTCCTTTTCTATACTCTCAAACTAAATGCAAATGCTATTTTCAATGGTAGTCACTTCAGATTTTACTTAACTTAAATGGTCTATCTGCTATGCACATTCCTTGGAGTGCATATGTGAGCATACTGTCTTTCTCAGAGGCAGACCCACCTTATTGCTGAAAAGGTAGCCTTGATGAGCCCATCTGTGTTTCAGACGTCTACCAATCTTTCCCTAGCCACAGCCTTTGGCGCTTCTGTAGAAGATGCCTAACTTAGGGTAGCCTATGTACAGTCCCTGAAAAATCTCACAAAGAATCAAAAACATGGGTCCAACATAGTAACTCTCAGGCTAATCGAATATCTACCTCTCTTAAAATTTCTCCTAGGACCTTGGAAAAGCAAGCACTGTAAGTTGTGCAATAAAGACGGCATATGTAGTAAAGGGCAGATCCTCTTGCTGCTGAGCCACAGGTCTGATCCTGATTCTAACTCTAGGCCCAGTCTTGCCAGCCTAGGTATGAGTCCATCTCCGTGATACCCCTGAGAGTCTTCCTCTCTAACACATAGTAACTACAACACTCATCTTGACAGCTAGGGATGAAGGGTAGTAATGCCTTGCAAACAAGCAGTGCTGTTCTGGAATACAGATGTGCCATGCTTACCTACCTCCTGTTTCCCTATAACAGGCTAAGGCCAACCTGAGAATCTCTTCTGTCTGCTAGAAATCTTTACTCCAATCATTTTTATTAGGGGTAAGTTTTTCCAGACATTTTTCATGTTACCTATTATTTCTGTTACACCTCCCCCCCTTTTTTTCCTGTCTTTAATTGAAATTAAGTTTTCCTTGCCCCTTCCATTGTTCTCTATAATCCAGGTTTTCCTAGAACTCAGGCATCCCATCTGTTCATATATACTATCAATAGCTATTTCTGTTTAACAATGTCAGGGAGCATCAGGTGCCATAGGACAGCATGGCTGCTACAGGGACAGTATGGCCCACAGTATAAACCACAGTCCCACCCCTTGGCAGACAGCGTGCTGACCTTTGCTTGACTGGCTTGGAAACAATACATCCCGTTTTATTTCTTTGTGTGTTTCAGCTCTCTATATTTGGTAAGCCTGTTGAACCACAGAAAACCATCAACACTGAGCTCAGTTATTAATCTCCACCAACCTAAACAGCTCTTAATTCTATCACCATGTAAACCAAGACTCCAGCTTAAATTTAATTTCAATTTTTAAAAAGTAAAATAATAATGCCAAAAATGTATGCCTACTACCATTTTTGTTACAAGATATGTAGGAATCACCCGACTGCTCCAAAGACTGTTTACTTTTCTATCACATTCCTAAACTTGACAGAAATGTTTTTAATATTTATTTAGATTTGACCCCAAGTTTGCTGACCTCTTTGCTTGTGCCCTTCTGTTAATCCTTTCTTTTGAAAATTGTTTCTGTCCTCACATTCCAGAAATGTATTTTTGGTTCAACTTTGAAAACTGGTTAGACTAAAAATAGAATTTGAGGTTCCAAATCACTGTTTCCTCAGAATTTCAGAACATTTCCCACAGTCTTCCATCCCTCAGTGTGGTCAGTATGGCTAGCAGCCAGGAAGAAGCCAAACCCAACCGCATCCATGCAATGACCTGCCTACTGTTCAAGCTTTTATGATTTTTCTCTTCTGTCCCAATAAATGAGCTTATTTCAACAACCATATTTTTGTTTTCAATATTTGCCAATGGTTATTTTCCACACCAGCTATTTTATGAATAAATAGTATAATTATAGAAACAACATTTGGTGAATGCTAACAGTGTGCTTGGTATTATTCTGAATATTTCATTAATTCATAAGGAAACTATGAATCAGGTAAAAAGTATTATCTCTAATGCATGGATAGACAGATGTAAGTGGAAACCAGGCTGTAGACACAGGCGGGCTGGTCCCAAAGTTATTTTTGTTTGTTTTTTTTCTTGTGATTTTGTTTATTTGTTTGTTTTGTTCTGTCTTGTTTTGTTTTTTTAAGTTTTATTTTGTTTTGAGACATCATCTGACAGTGTATCCCAAGCCAGTCTCAGCCTCCCTTTGTAGTGTAGGCTGGCATTGAACTCACAACAATATGATCCTTATGCCTCAGTCTCCCAGCATGTTATTTACCCTTACTTTGCTAGTTTAAAATTACAGCATCCAATGTTTTAGATCAGTGTGAAGAGATGGCTCAGTGGCTAAGAGAACTTATTGCTCTCTCAAAGGACCCAACTTTGGTTCTCAGCACCCACGTTGGGCAGCTCACACACACTCCTCCTAACTCCAGCTCCAAAAGGTGTGGCTGAGTTCCACAGGCACTTGTACTCACAAGTACACACACACACACACACACACACTTCAATAAACATTAATATTGATAAACCTTTATAAAATCACTGGCTTCTCTCCAATATATGCTCTTGAATTTCTCTAAGTATTTTGAATAATGTAAATGCTCTGAGATTCATTACTCATATTACATGTACAATTGTTTTAAAACATTTGGCTCTTTAAAGCTTTACAGTTTCTTCAAATGTAATACATTCTGCTCTTTTATGGAGAAAAAACTCAATATATGTTTTTTTCTTAACCTTGCTGAAAGTCTCAAAACATGCATTTTCATAACATTTATTTAAACATTCAAATGAGCCAAGCAGTGGTGGTGCACACCACTAATCCCAGCACTCAGGAGGCTGAGGTAGGAGGATCTCTGTGAATTTAAGGCCAGCCCAATCTACAAAATAAGTTCCAGAATAGCCAGGGCAAAAACACAGAATCCTGGGGTAGTTAATGGCAATGAAACTTCAAATTAGAGACCAATCTACATATCTTAGTTTTTCACTTTCTCATGCACTGTCTGCCTGGATTTCTTAGGAAACAGCCACCGTCAGAATGGCTTACAGAAAGGCATGGTGTCAGCTAGCCCTGCTACAGCCCTCTTCTGACAAACCCCTAGCTCCAGCATCAGTATCATCGCCTCGGAGCGGGTATGAGAAACCCCTGGTATCTTTTGTGTCCTACCATGGTCCATAATTTTATAACTTAGTTTTGTTTTTACTTACATTCTTTTTTTATTAAGATGTAAAATTTGCCAGAAGAAACTATTTATTTGAATATATTTTTCTCTTCTTTTTTAAGATAGGGTTTCTTTGTGTTGCTCTTGCTGTCCTGGAACTTGCTCTGGTAGACCATGCTGGCATCAAATTTAGAGATCTTGCCAGGCAGTGGTGGCGCACGCCTTTAATCCCAGCACTTGGGAGGCAGAGGCAGGCGGATTTCTGAGTTCGAGGCCAGACTGGTCTACCGAGTGAGTTCCAGGACAGCCAGAGCTACACAGAGAAACCCTGTCTCGAAAAAAACTCAAAAAAAAAAAAAATTAGAGATCTTCCTGCTTCTGCCTCCCAAATGCTGAGATTAAAGCAGTGCATCACCACATACCACTTCCATGTATTTTTAACTTAACGTATTCTTTTGTAATAAGAAGTATACATATGTTCCATTATTTTTTTCATCTATTCATTTTAGCACAGATGGCCTATACTCAAGGAATCCTAAAACATCTGCACTGTTCATTTAATCCTCTCAGAACTGAACGTCAGATAGCTGTCTGTGTATCTGCTAATGCAATCCTCTGTATCTTCTGTAGCACTAGAAACTAGAACAAGACACCAGAAACCAAAGTAGCTAGACAATTATTCCCTTCAATGAACAGAGGGTAAGGATAAAACCAAGAAATGCTACCTAAAGATGGCTAATTCAGTGAGAAGAAATAATACGAGCAGATGCAGGATATATATGAAGCTTTCTCACAAACACCTTGAGAAACAGTACTGACTAAGCAGGTGCTTGAGTACAGTTTATATAGCTTGTAATTACAGATAAATCCAGAAACTAATTTACAAGCAACTACAGTTCCCAGAATGCCAACCTCAGTCAAGATGCTAAATGTCATATAGACCAAGTCAGGGGAGTACCATCGTCCTGGAATTCACATTACAAATGGAGTGATGTTCTCCACCCCTCTTCCGAGAACATCAATTTCCACAAAGCCTCTGGCTTTTTACAGCACCCTGAGTGAGGTAGACCATTAACTCACAACCTCTCCTCCATTGCAGATGCCTACACTATTAGATTCACAAGTGCCATACTCAAAACAAAAGGCAAAGCAAGTAAATGACCTTCTAAAACAAACCTATTTTACAAACAATTCCAAACTTGAAAAAAACCTCAAAATTGTGAAGGAAAACAAACCCCAAAATGCACGCACAGCACATCCACTATACAGTGTAGTGATTATCCTAGAAATCTCCTGGCAGGCGCTGGACACTCTTGTTTGGCATTGAAAAAATAAACATTCACTGATGGCATTTGTTGGCTTCTCATTTTTGGTATAATTTAGGGGTTCCATTCTAACATACGCCAATAGGTTTTTCATTCTTTAGATTTGTTATTGATCAATTTTTTAGATACTTTATCATCTACATGTACCTTTATTGAATTCTCAAGCTAAGAATGCCACTAGCTTTGCAGGACTCAGACTATGCGGGACTCAGACAACCTGGGTGGCAGAACCGTGACAAATT